TTCTGTTGAAAAGTGAACACAAATTTCATTACCATTTGATATGTCAAGATGTATTCCACCTCACATGAAATCTGATCACTTCAACTTAACAATGATGTCCAAGCTTAATCAACATTCAACACAAACGTACATTTTGTCAACAGTAGAATGTGTCTACAGGAACTTATAAACACATCTGCCAATACGTTTACTAAAAATGCTTCCCACTATACAATGTCTAATGATACATGATAAAGACAGATCAAAATTCAGTGAAATATCTTGTCGTATTTTAGTGAATCAGGATTGTCAATGGACATTCCAAAGATTAATAAACTTAGGGCATCAATACTCGATGATTCTATGAGAAGATAATCACAAAACTCATTCGAATGATAAATAAATGGTAAATGGTTACATTATTTATTCATAGTTGAAGCAAAACCTTCAATGAACTGACAGCCAAAAGATTTCATGGAGTTTTGTTCTCTGAGCTGGATGGTTTGGTCATGGAGCCAAAAGATTTATCTTCACTTCACGTTGTTTTTAAAAACGTGGTAATTTTTTTGTAAAATGAGAATTTCATTTATATTCGTTCTGTGTGTATAAGTGTTGGTCAGTCACATAAACATATTAATAGAAAGTGATACTATTTATTATAACAAAGCTTCATATTATGTTCACTATACAGTAGAGACAATAGAGAATACCATAATATTTGATCACTGAGATAGAATGAGATGATACACGGCAACAATGTATAATCATCAATATTTTAATGAACAATTGAGATCAACACAAATATGTTTGTTCAGTAAATGCTCAGATAATTTAGATTGATATTCAAAAGTGTTCACTTTGAAAACTGAATAGAATGGAAGAAAATTGATAGAACTTTGTGTAGAAAACTAGCAATGCAGCAATTTTCTGAAGCAATTTGGAGGGCTCTCCCGGTGTCCCACATTGTACGAACATTCCATGTACCTAAATAAATGGTCGCTCTGGTTGTCAGAAGGAGCATCGGCCTCGTAACTTTCGACGGAATTTGGCTTTCATCATGAGGCGCCATAGTTCTTCTAAATGAACACCTTCTGACTCCCGGGGCAGAGTTTAAAAGGTTTGAATAATTTTTTCTGGTTAGCGTTTTTTTAACGAGGTAGTTTTCTACGGGATGGGGACGCTAACCGCATGCCCAACCCTCCTTTTTTATCCGGGCTTGGGACCGGCAGTAGCCCCCAGAGGGACTCCAGGCGGAGTTGTGTAGAAAACTAACTCGCTAAAAAAACGCTAACCAGAAAAATTACAAACATCAATAAATAAAGATACAAATATTCCATGTTCTTAATTCAAAGCAAAGAAGTATGATTATTCAAATGAAAATATATTTAATAGGCTAATTGTAATAAGTGATATAGATATAGATATATATACCATCGATAAAATATCATTTATCCATCATTCTGTTATCACAAACAACAACAACAACAACAACCGATTCTTGTAAATGTCCTTCATGTAATCGTCTTCTGACATTATACAGTTTTAAAAACAATAATCTAATCAGATCATTGTAGTTTGAAGTAATTCATTTCCTTTTTTTAAAAAAAAATTACCCATAGATAAGGATTGTACGAATATTATTACAGGGTTTCAAATTTCTGGTAACACTTATAGATTGTAAAACACATGTACAGGTTATTCGGAACCAATCACAACTTGTAAGCAAAGATGGATAGTGGCTAGCAGTGGAATCCAGGACGCACGTTTCGTCCTGTTTGGGACTCGTCAGCTGGATGTACCTGCATCTCAGAGTTGATGTTCACTCTGGGACTCGAACTCATTACCGTTTGCTTCAAACGCCATCCCGTTATCCACTTAGCTACTGAGTCCTGATAGCCACTTGCTTGTGCAATGGGGTGAAGTTTAATTCACTTGGCATTGTTTTACTTGGATCTTCCCATTGATGTTTTTTTAGGACTGAAATTGATCAGTCTCTTATTGGTATATGTGCATACTGTGCGTATGCCTCGATATTGCCTTAATTTATAAGATTCAAGTAAAACAATACCAAGTGAATCACTCACAACTTGGTTTGAATTTACTTATATAATTGGTACTATTGACTTCTTTGTGAATGTTCTTTTTTCATCGTTTATAAATTGTCTACTTGGATAAAGGATTAAAATCAGTCGAGAAGTCATAATAGATAATTAGTATTGAATAGTGTATGTATATGTAGAATGTCACATCAATAAACAATAATGACCTATTCGTGTTTAGCAAATTTTGGTCGATAAATACGTTGTCCTGGTAATGAGATTAACATAGAAATATAGCCTTGAATAGCTTTGAAATGATCATAAATCGATAGTCGAATATCTCAATTCGAATGTCTCATATTTTGCAATGAAATCAATTCAGTGTCATGATGTACATTGTTGAGAAGTGTAGAATTCATATATCAATAATCACGTTCATTATTATGACGTATAAAATTGAATTAGTAAATAACTATTGTAGTCCTGCACCAAATAAAACGAAATGATGAGCCTGATCTGATGATATCCATCCAGGGACTTATTATTAATAACCGTACTAATACTAATACTCATCATCTAATATGGATTTACTTGATATAAATAACAAAACTCATTCATCATGAAGTTTGTCTTGATTCGTCTGTGTTGATCATTCCCATGATGCCCATATAACTCAGTCAGTCAGTAACAACGTAGAACTTCGTACGTATGTACGTACATTAGTTCGAGTTGCCATACCACAATAGCACAGAGATGCAGTGGTCAAATATAATCTCGTAGTGATAGAGGTAGTAAAATTATAAGCTGTAATCAGAAAAATTAGGATTTGAAGATGTTATTCAAGGAGTATAATCCGGTGAAATAAATTTGGAAAGAGAAAAAAGAAAGAAACATGAAGAAGTCAGAAGATTAGAATTTGGAAGAACACAAAGAATGGATGCACCTGCGCCATTGAAAATGATTTTGAGCTATGTCATTCAGGGTCTCTAACCATCGGTTATCATCTCGCGGTCCCCAACCACGTAGTCTACACCTATCGACATGACTCAGTCTACTTGTCAGTGAGTCCATGGACTTGTGCCATGTTTTGGTCTGGCCGCCCCTAGCTTTCTTCCAATCTACTAATATACAACAAAACATCGGTGGTTGGGCATACGTAACACATGTCCCAGACATCTCAACTGATGAAGTTTCACTACGTAATCAATCGATTTGCCATCCACATAACTGGTAAACACTAACAGACGCGTGAATTTCATTTCATACTGTCGAATTTCAATTTAAAAGTACATTGATTCACTCAACGGAGATAGTTCAGTTATCATTTCAACTGAAAGTATGCTCAAGTAAATCTACAATATATCAAATGAATTTCAAATTCATTATGTACATGTGGTGTTAATCAAAGATTAAGATTGATATCAGTCGGAGTATCAGTAAAACTCAGTGATAAACATTTACCTAGAAATTCAAGGGTAGCCTTTGAAATTACCCACAAGTCAATATATGACTATACAGCACAGTAGAGAGATCAGTGGAGATTTGCCCAATTATTAATATTAATGTTAATAGAAGGTATTAGGCAAAGAGATGATTCCTAAAGAAAATATGAATTCGTGGAGCGACGAAAATAAATTAGAAATGTTAGATCTAATGGAAGACAAGTAATGAATGCATCAATGCTATTGAGAACCATTCAGTGCCTCGTCAACCAAGGACCGTAACCAATGATTATAGTAATCGTGTGCATATCAATAAGGTAGTGTCAGTTCAGTTGAACATATTCGTAAGCTACAAGTATTTGACCACAGATGTCTTAGAAATGTAGCTCGTATCTGCGGGTAATAGTAATAGTGAGGTTAGACGCAGGGTATTAGGGAATAATGGTAAATCAGTTGGTGAGGTTATGAACCTTTATCGACTGAGATGGTTGGACCACGTGTTGCGTATGCCTGAACACCGATTAACACGACGCGCAATGCTAACCGGTGTTGGGGACGGTTGGAAGAAAACGTGACATCAGTGCTTGAAGACGACTTATAGTCTGAGCCATGTTGGTATATGCAGACTCCTTGGTTGGGGTCCGCGTGAATATCGTAACCAATGATTGGAGATTCATGGTAACGTGGCTCAGAATCGATCACAATGGCGTAGGTGTATACACTCTCGGTCTTCCCTTAAACTATGAGATTAAAATCGCTTCATATCTTTCTTTCTACGAACTAATTCTTTCTTCCTGTATCGTATTCTTATATGCAATCTTTCTTTTATATATTACCATCATTGAATTAACCACTTCTATGAATCCAGTGTTCATCTTGCTGTACTGGTGAGGTATGGCAAATTGGACCGATGCATATGTCCCTGGTCCTACGTTGTAGCTGACTGTCAGTTCATTGACACAAGTACTGTATACACTAAACGATTAATTGATCACACAGACACCATCCATTCCCATAAACAGTAGTCGCCCTAACAACTAATATCATCCTGTATTATTCAAAACTGAAAACATTGTTTATTATAGACGAGGAGATAAAATTACAACTCACCATGAATAATAAATCTCAGTTGGCACACAACTGATACAGTTGTAGTACACATCTGAACAACAGGTTCAGATTTAATGGGATGTAATTATGGACCACAATTAAAGTGAATAGCAATAATTGGTGAGTCCATTATTCGCTCGAAGCTATCAGCAGCACTAAGTACCGAATATTTCCCACGACACTATCATTGGTTGAACACTGAAACTTGATGCACACTAGGTGAACATTACTCCTGACCAGTAAGCTAGAATGCAACAGTCACTGTTCTTAACTGCAAACACTCACTTAAAATGTGTAATTAGAAGCACATCGAAAACTTGATGATCAAATATTTACATACTTTCCTTGAAGTCAGTAAGTTTACCAACCACTTATATTTAATCACCAATGCATAAGATATCAATTCAATTGTGTAAGAGTCTCGCTTAAAATGTTTAGGTATGAAGCAAGCTGCATGTATGAGAATCATTATTACGTCAGTGTTACATATGCACATGGATATATCTATGCAATTGGAGGTCATAATGGTGAATACGGAGGTCGTTTAGACTCTGCAGAAAGATATATTGTCGATGAAAATTTATGGCAAACTATATCTTCAATTAATCATATACGTAGTGATGGGTCAGCTGGAGAATTACATAGGAAAATATATGTGATTGGTGGATTTGATGGTCGATATTATTATGATTCAGTGGAATATTATGAACCGTTGACGGATCAATGAACCTTAATAAATCGAATGAATTCACCGAGAGGCGGTGTACCACTTATTCAACATGCTGATTACTTATATGCTATTGGTAGAAACAATGGTAATGATCGTTTGAAATCCATTGAACGATATGATCCGAAAGAAAAGAAATGGGAAATAATTGGAGAAATGAGCCGAAGTAGGAGTAATTCAGCGAATACAGTTATCGAAAATTATATATATAATTTTAGTTATTTTCGCGTGGGTTTAGGACAAATAACGTTGCCAACAACAGTTGTAACTGGCGGATTCCGAAAATTGATTCTGATACATGTGCTATACACTAACCCCCACCCCAAATGACTACTTGAGCGAGAACACAAGACTGAACGAGAAAGTATATTGGACTACAGAATAAAATAAACAAATACTCATTTATACATGTACAACTCTACCCCCCTTGGGAATTTAATCCATTTCTTAGCCAATTAAATGCACTTGTCATTCAGGTCAATTCTGATTGCTATCGATTGACCTTCCCTATTTGGCTACTTCTGATTGACTTATCGTATCAACCATCGTCACAGGAAAGGTATGAACAATGAAGACAGTATGTACATCATGATCTGTACAGATACAGATAAACAAAAACATATCATAATAAAATAACAAGGATGTATACATATATGTATATAAATAAAAAGAATTCGGAGAAAAGAAAAACAAAGAGAGATTCATCTATGAAGTATCAGTGCTATCGTCTTCATCAATATCTGATTGTTGAGAATAACCTTTTTTCCGAGGCTGTGAAGCATGTTTATATTTTAATTGTTTCAAATGTGCCAGTTGTTGTTGGCTTTGTATAGTATGATGATAATGTGTAAATTGTGATGAAGTTGGTATATTTTGTAAATGTGTCACTAATTGTATATCCTTGGTCATAACTGTTACACGTCTTGCATGTATTGCGCATCGTTGTGCGCATTCGAATAAATGAACAATAAATGCTTCCGCAGCTTCTTGTAATGCCAAAAAACAGACAGCTTGCCAATTAAATGATAAATAGCTCGGACCAAGTGTACGAACAGTGATAGAACGTACTAAACGTGCAAATGGTAACTTCCTGCTCATTAAAATAGAAAAAATCACACATACATATATATGACACAATGGTGTATGTAAGAATGAATTATAAAAATTATAATAATCTGATATTAAGATGCAAAACGATGATGTAACTCACCGAGTACAGAAATTTGTAATTGACTTTGACTTATATTTTACTATGTGTGAAGGTCAGTGATTACTACTACTACGACTACTACTTGACTATTGTTCAAGTCGAAGTAGATGGAGAGGAACTTGAACCACGTTTGCCTGGTGTTTGAAAGTCGAACACATTAATTAGTAAGCCACTGCTTTACTTACATTTGCTAGAATATTTTTAGTATGATTTCCAAGAAAACTAGACACTATGGAAACTTTTTACGACTTGAAAACAATAACTTAATCCTTTGGAGTAACTGTACAGGTATCAAGAGATCCATTGAAGAAAAACGACAGTTTTGTAGTTAAAGGAAACGTCATATAATCATTATGCAGTGAATCGAATCCCGAATTCATCTACTTGTACTTTAAGTGACCAAACAGCATTACCAGTCTCTTTCAAAATGAGTTATGATTAAAAGTCAAGTACATAAACCTGTACAATCACACGGTAGATGATTGTTTTTTTACTTTATATCCGATTAATCTTACACTAATTGTATAGTAAAGCTGATTTATATTAGGCGACCAATATTTCCTATGGACGGGGATCTGACTAGTCAATTAGCTAGAATAAAACTGTTTGCAATCAAACTACAAACGTAATTTTCAAAGTTAAAACGAACAGTAGTTTACGAGACACAGAAATATTGTATTCTATTGGAATATCCCACTTGTATATGAATTCTTGAGATCTAAATCTGTAGTTTACTTGATAAGAATGATGAAAGTCTGTTGTTAAATCTGTAAGTATTCAAGACACAACAACTGAATACTGGACAACAACGTGTGTTTAACCACCGCCTACCGCGACAAATGATTCTGGCTAGTGCGGCAGTAAATCGGAGGAAATCTAAGGATGGGCAAACTGAAATGTGATATCAGTCCATGAAATCACTGACTGTTGGTGCGAGCCATGCTATTAGATACAGACTACATAGTTAGAGATCCAAAGTCTCCGACCGTTTATTACGATAATCTTAGTCTGAGTCTACCAACATGATCCGGTTCAGTAGTCAACGACTTGATGAACTGATGTCTTTGTGTGACCACCACTACCTTTTTTCAACCTAGTTCTAAGCAACCCATCACCGCGTGTCAAGATAGGTAGTGGTTAGGCGGACCTATCACATGTCACAGTCACTTAAATCGATGAAAATTCACTAGCTCCTCAATAAATTCGTCTAGTACCCTGCGTCACACTATAACACAGGCATTTCTGGTCAAATACTTTTATATGTTCCATGATGTTAAAAGTTATGTGGTAAATTCACAAAGTAAAAATGAAAACTGTTGTGGATTTTACTTGACTTCTGCTTGAAAATGGATATGTTGTCTAAATCCCTAATGATAGAAGTTGAAAAACTTAGTCACTTATATTATACCTAAAGACTGTTATTATATATATATTCTTAATGTATAACTTTTAAGTAACTAGATTATACATATATTTATAATCCTTTTATCATAAGCTTTTATTTAACCTATTGACTACTATCATACGATTTACTATACTTAAGTTATCCCCAATTTATTAGTTAGTCTCTCACAATTACAGTCACTTTTTGATCTTGTACAAACGTTATTTTCTATTTTATGATATGATGTGGTCTGGTTTGCTTGTATATAAACCCAGTATGTCTGAAATATATGATTCATCTAGTGGAAACTGATATTGGTGTTCTGGACTCAACAGACAGAGCTAGGCAAGAAGGACTAATAAGAGCTCTAGACTTTTAGTACCGGTCAACACATCATTGGCTTGACACAGTGTATAAGTCATGTTTTGATTAGCGACCTTATCACGTAAGAATTAACAGGTTACACAAGTTATAACAACTTACCTTAAAAGAAGATTTGTACTACGCTGAAAAGCTCTTATTTCTCTTAAAGCGATTTCACAGGGAGCAGCTCTTCTCTTCGGCCTAATTTGATTATCATTTGAAGCACTTCCTGTTGTTTTACTTGACTGTTGTGTTTGAACTAACTGTCTATTTCGACCGGAGCTCTGAGACTGTCGATTTCGAATAGGTGAAACACGACGATTACTCGGTTTAGATGTTTCTTTACGATTCACATACATCCAGTTGTTTTGACGAGATTTATTTCCAGCTTGGTTTGTTTTTGATAGTGAAAAAAAACATAACAGAAATGAAGTTATCAAAGGTAGTGGCAAAATATCAGTCAAGATAAAAATACATTTTAGCTATAAAAGGTAGCATAGCTATGTTACCAAATATAATAGTATAGTCTTATTCAAAGTTGATTTGAAACATGATAGTCATTTATCAATAAAGTAATCAGAAGAATCTTAAACACGAAATAAAAATTAAGTACATCTGTAGAGAATAATGAGAAAAAGATGATTTTTAAAATCTCAGCTACAATATAGTCCAGGAAAGACTTTTTATTCGATTGAACTTAAACTGTCCTGTTTTTCTGGTTGACAGCTGATTTGAGGATGTATTGAGAATAGAGTGAGGCTTTGGATCATTACTATATAAATATATAGGTTCAGTTAGTATTGTGGAGAAAGTTATATCGACTGCAAAAAGTGTACTCTTTTCGAACGTACCTCCAAGCATTGTCAAGCAAATACAGCATGAATGTAATATAATAAAGAAATATTTTCAAACATTTTATTAACTCAGGCTAATTAGACTCATCAGACGTTGATTGTCAAATCATCTTTAAGGTTAAATAAACTAGAACAAAGGGGACACAAATCACGAAGTCATATACAAAAAATGCTTTGTCGATTCATAACTGATCTGTGTTGACAAACGATCTGTTCAATCTCTTATTGAACTGTAGTTCCAACATCTCTAATTTTTAATTACTGATACCTGTGATATTTATATTTTTTCACTTAACTGTTTTTCATTGTCCTTTAAACTGTTTCATAAATTGTTTTTGGTACTTATAATTTTTTAATCATCCTTTTAATGGAGCATAGATTGGCATCAAATACCCTGGTACAGCCGACAGTGGGGAGAGTCTGCTCTCCCTCTCAAAATGCTTTCACATGGCCACGTGTACATAGCGTCTGCCAGGGAAGTTTTACTCACTGTCTTCTCATGGTGGGGGGTTGTTGACGAAATCGACAGGACGAAGAATGAATACCAGGCGATTTAACCGGGTCGGTGGACACGGAGAGTCCGCCTAGAAGAGTTAAAAATCCCGATTCCAAACCAGTGGTGGACATGGGCTCCAGTATCCTGAAGGAACAAATGGCGTATGAACCTATTGTTGGTCACCGGCTACCATGGGACCGCATCTCCTTACGACGCTCCACTGCCTTGTGGGTTAGACCTTTAGGTCAAAGGCTCAGGGTGTGGCCCTCGAGGAAAACCACCTGCTTCGGTCTCGGCACCCCGGCAGTATCACAGTCCTCACACATATCGAATGAGATCTGTGTGGCGCATATGTATCTGGTGCCCCCTTGTACCAATATTTGTGTTCAAATAAATAAATAAATATGGAGCGTAACTTAATTATTTTGTTATAAACTACTGTAATAAATAACTATAAATACGATTGTATGACGTTAACAAATGATATTGTTGGAAAGAATATTTTCTTTATCAAACTAAGGCGAGACTATAATTTATGGACGAATCAATCACGTATAAGATAAGAGGTCTTGGATTTTGGCGCGAAATTCCCTCATCCATTTGGATGAATAAAGTTTTGGCATTATAGCTAATGTCAATTCATGATGAAAACCCTAAATCTAATTCCTAACCTTAACCGTCAACTGTAAATCA